TGAAGTTCTGTGGATATGGGAACACTAGGACTTGACTCGATCAAACCACACATTCAAGTTCTGAAATTTCAATATAGAAAAACAATTTCTCAAATTCACACTTGAATTAGAAGATGTATCAAATCAATGAGTTAGGTTCTGAAACTTTTACATAAATTTTACATCCCAGTTCTAAGTAAGATCACCCAATTTAAGCTTCAAACTCCTTATGCATAATTTTATAAAATTCAAACAAGTTTTTCAACAAAAACGAGTTTAAAATAAAATCACATGATAATGGACGATTCAGGCTATGAAATTTTTATCTAAAATACTACAGCATGTGAATAGTAACACATAAATTTATCAGCCTTCAACACTCAGTATATCAATTTATAAAATTAAATAACATTCAGCCAAATATCGCAATTATATCAAAACTGATTGCAACTGAACTCCAAAAATTCTAAAGTTTTTACAGCATGTTAAACATCACATAATCAGCACCTCCACAAATTTTCAGAATTTTTCAGCTTCAGAACAATTTATTATAATTAAAACAAATTCGGGCAGAAACACCAATTAAATCATTAACCCTATCAAACCTAGTCTACAAATTCTAAAACCTTTATACAACATATAATCATGCCTGAGACATCACATATTCGAAAATTGGCCAGAAAAGAGCACTACACAATTAATTATGCATTTTACAAGAAATTGAACAGAAATCAAAATAATTTTTAAAAATAGTTCCATACCTTCAAAAATCACGAAAATTTTACAGCAGCTACATATTCATCAAACAGGTGCTCCTAAAATTTCAAGGTAATCGGATTAGTATTCAATTTATAGTGAATTTTTCATTCAAAACAGCCATTATAAACTTCGAAAAATCATAACGGCAAATATACACCTCCAATCGACACAAGGCCAACGCCATTGTGTTCGAAATAATTCTAGGTTCCTAAACCCATAGCAACTAATCACTTATAACAAGTTCTCGTTCGATTCGCACGAATCGACGAGATCGACACATAATTCGATTAAGCACGGCTCAACATATTCATCACAATCGACAATGATCATATCACATGTACACATCAAATACACTTCATATATAATTCATCGGGCACGATTAACACATCAAATAAACACGTGAATAACGCAAGAAGGATCAAGGCTCGATACCGTTCTCAGGAAACGCGAGAATGGTTCGAACGGATGCGAACGGCACGACGGGCTCGACAGCTCAGGCTCGGCTCGCCGGTGGACTCACGGATGAGCAGCGACGGAGAGGCGATCGAGGAGGAGTAGCGGCTCGTGGACAACGGCTCACGGCGATAAAGGATGCCGCTGTGGTGAGGCTTGTCGTTCGCGGAGGAGGGCCCGGAGTTGCAGGTGTGGTCGCCAAAAAACGAGCAGAGGAAGACGGGTCTGCTCGCGGTGGTTGTGGGCGGCGGGGGACAAGCTCATGGGCAGAGGATGAGCAGGCTCGTCGTCGGGGTTGCAGGCCTGTTCACGGAGGGTGCTTCGCGGCAGAGCAGGTTCATGGCGAGGAGGCGTTGCAGGCGAAGGTTCGCCGGAAGGGGCCTGCTCGCAGACAGGAAGTCGCCGGTGGGTTGAGGGCAGCAACGGCGGGAAGCTGCCCCTTGCCGGGGGATCGCGAGGGCGGCGGAGGCGGACCTGTGTGCGGAGGTTGAACTCGCGAGTAGGCGGTGATGGTGACCGCCGGAAGTTGCAGCGACGGCGAGTTGCAGCAGGGGCGGTGGTCGTCGAGTCTTTGCAGGGTGGAGCAGAAGCGACAGCGGGAAGCTCTCGGGTTCCTGCTCATGGTGGCGCGCCGGCGAAGAGGAGGGAGGGTGAGAGGCGACGGGAAGGAGACGGCGATTGATTAACGAGAGGGGCGATGTGATTGAGGGGTTGCTGCGCGTCGATTTAAAAGACGAGAGGGAGGAGCAGATTTTGGGCGTGAGATAATATGGCTGCGGCGTGATTTGGTTTTTAAAAGAGAGAGATAGATACATAATATGTATATATATATAGCTTGGTTTGACTATTCTTGATTTACAAGAAACAAGAATCATGCTCGCGGAATTTGTGGGAGAACCGGATTTGTTGGGCTGTTGGGCCAGTTCACGGGCTCGATTTCGGTTCAAACGCGGGTATATTCGGGCTCGATTAAATAGCACGATTAATAAGTTCGGCTCTCAGGCCCGTTTCAATTACACGAAAATAAATCCAGCTCTCGGGCTCGGGTTCTCCGATACTAATTTCGACAGTTCAAATCGATCGTACGAAAAATAAACAAAATCCGGACAATATAAATTAAATACGAACATTATTTTAAAAATACTAATATTATAAATCAAAATATACAATTAGCAATTAATTGACAAATAGACATATAATATTTAGACATTCAAATTGGCAAGCAATAATTAATATATCACAATAATAATAATAATAATAATAATAATAATAATAATAATAATAATAATAATAATAATAATAATAATAATAATAATAACACTTCAAATAAATCACAAATAAATGGGGCATTACAGTCTACCCTCCTTAAACGATTTCCGTCCCTGAAATCCAAAGAAAAATCATCCCAACAGGACAATTGACACACGAGAGAAGTTCAAACCACTCAGCTAGGATACTCCGTCCGAATCTTCCCACTCTACCAAGTCACACCGTACTAGCCATGGTTACCCTGCCGGACTCTGACGAGTACCTCTTCCGGACTCTCCCTGCTGGATTCGTCAATCCAGTAGGTCACCGGTACCTCATCAAAGGTAAAGTTCTGCCCACATGCAGCTCGTCAAAGATCGCCTCGTGCCTAGAGTCGCGCACTTGTCCCCTCTCCACGAGGCACTGAACAGGTCGTGCACTCTTGCAAGCTCCGGTGATGGGGTCAACCGTCAGGCTAAGACACCGAATCGGTCGAGAATCACGAAAGGACCAACAAATGTGGCTGATACTTCCTCTCTTCCCAGAACTCGAGGCGTACAACGCCTCTTTCCGTACTCAGAACCTCGTACGGTACCATCAAGATCGTCACTCATAGCCATTGCTATAAGCGCGCTTTCTTATGGTAAGAAATTCCACACGACACACCCATCGAGTACACCAGACTCAAAACCAGTCTCTCAAGGTCTCGACAACATGTCCTAAACGCATAACTATCTGGATTTCTACGCGGTGCCAAGTTCAGTCTCGTGCCCGGGTCACGTTGACAACTTGCCCACGATCCCAATGTGATCCGTGCGTCCGTATCAAACGGGCCGCCACGGGATCTCATACAAAAGGCTAACAAAGCAACAACAACACCACAAACTCAACACTGATACCTACAGAAGTCACGGTTCTGCTCGATATCGTTGGCAAAGCCTCCTTCCTTGCCGACACGAGTAACAGCTTGTATGCGGTTTAGGAAGTATCGACGGGACATTCGAAAACAAATTCTATCGCAGAAACTGACTCTCAAATAGGGATGCTCGACGATCTCAATATAACGATCTAAAAGGACATAGCCAGTCCGAGGTTTAATGCATTGTCACCCGAGAGATGCCATACACACTGGTGCTGCATAAGCGGGGCGCTGGGACGTGTGCGTACATCTGTTCGGAGAACAGCTGCAAGGTCAAGGTTTCGGCCACACACTGGCTTGGGGAGCTCCTGCGTTCGGTGATGGTGGCTGCAGCTCTCGTGCAAGTCAACGATCGGCCCTGCAGTGCCTCACGTCTCTCAGCACAGGCTCGCGTGCTCGACCACCACTTCGCGTGACTACACCCAGTCAACGTCAGCATTCGGTTCGAGATACAGAAAAGAATTACTCTAATTCAAGGCTCGCACTATCTGAGGTAACCCGAAAGGAAAAAAAAAGTTTTCACAAAACCAAGAAACATTAGGGTTCAATAAGGACATAATCCCCCAGCATTTAGGTATCGACAAACTCGGATGGTTCAGGGCTTCCAATTCATCACATCTAAAGAGAGTGAATATCAGCATCCTCAGCTAGGAATCGTCCTCAACTCAGCGGTCATTGCCAAGAAATGAAAATGATCAGCTCGCATGGCTCTTCCAACTAACAGTGTCGGCCGTCACGTCAGCTCTATCTCCGGTAGCTAATCGTGCCGGCAGTCCCAAACAAGCTAAATTTCTACTCTGCTAAGATTTTCACGTTTCTGGATCTCATCACGAAGCCTCCTTGGTTGATTCGTCTCGATCGCGTCTCGAATATAGGTCATCAACGTTAAAAAAATAAAACACGACCAATCGCAATGTAAATCCCAACGGTGAGGAGCTACTAATATTGCGCGGAAAGCAAGAGCTCTCGAAGGCATTAGTCTCTTACTAGCTCTCTGAGGTTATAAAGCAAAACGCGTTCCTAATCCGTCCTCTAGTCTGACAAGTTATATCTATGGAAAAGAAAATTCCTTAGTTCTGGTCGTCAAATAGGAATGATGAAGAGTAAGTTCCACTCTCTATCTGAGTAATAAATATTTGTAGTTGTGGAGTCTCTCCTAATGGCAAAGAGTTCGTTCCTCGGTTTGTGGTAAAGTAAGTCGTATGTTCTGGTCCTACTGCCTGGCTAGCGAGCTTGACCTACTTACTGCTTGGCTGGCGAGAAAGACAGGACCTCACTACCAGATCTCGCCCGGGAAACTTGAACTAACTGCCTGGTCTCCCGATGTCACCACCCTTGGAAAGATTAGCTGATGGGATGTACTTTCCTCACATATGTGCTGTCTACTCGAGTGAGGAACTCTTTGAACTACTGCCTTAAGCGCTGGCGAGAAAGCAAGGACCTTAAGGACGTACTTTCGCACCCGTAGCCCTTTCCGTGAATCTGTCGATTCATTCCGGCTTGCCCATTTACTTCACTAATAGAGAACGCGTTTTGCGACACCCTTATGATAGATCACATTACGCCCTATTGTGAAGTGCCTTCCTTGGCAGAAAAGAAAGAGGCTTTATTTTGCGCACTCGGAACTCCCTAGCTCTAGGACATGTGCCTAGCTCTTCCTTTTATTGATAGATCTGCCTTCGGTCTTGTCATTCCTGTCTCAACTGGCATGTCACTGGACGCGTACGCATACAACGAAGGAACTCTACTTTACTTTATGTCTTCTCCTGCCCAGGATATCGAGAGTTTGAAGCATGGTGCCAGATGATTTGCTATTCATGTCCGGGAAAGTTCGACAGCTGACCCTTTACGCAGGCCTTACTGTCCTCTGAGATCTTCTCTAAAATCTTCCGAAAGGGATGACTTATTGAATATAGAAGAAGGTATGAAGGAAGAGGGGACAACTGCTATGCGTTACGCATGCTACAAAGGGACTAAACTTGACTTTCTGTCTTCAGTAGGGCAGGATATCTTGAGGCAGCGTGGCCTCATTAAGAGACGGAAACATTCGATAAATGGATGGTTTGACCGACCTTCCAACCTTTAGGTCAGATACCTCAGCTAAAATAGATCTGCCTTTTTTATTATAAGAGGAGATTCCGTGGTTCTGGGTGAGGGAGATATTACACTTCGCGCATTTTGAAAGCTTGGTCCCGCGTCTGACATAGCTGCAAAAGTGACTAAGAGAATTTTCACTAACAGAGTTCGATTCTGATCTGACTTTTTCCTTCTCGCATACCGGGGAAAGTTGGCAAGTCGAATTGCACTAATAGATGCCAATCAAAATCTAGAAAGTTCCTTCTCTACTACCGACAAAAGTTGCTGAATTTCCCTTCTCATAACTAACAGTAGGCGGAAAGACTTCTTCGAAACCTCGCTTTCTTCTGCCATTGTCTGGAAGGTCTTAGAAGGGTTCGCCTTTTATCGCGCTAAATCCTTTAATTTAAGCCTTTGGTCAAGCGATTCCTTTCAAGCAAAGCCTGGAAAGAGCGGTATCGATGTTCCTTCGGGGTCTTCAATAACCTATCATGTCGATATCAAAGGCCATGAAAGAGTTCCAAAAGTTTCAAGCAATGCGATCAAAGAAGCTGGGGTTTCGGTTCAGTAGTGGTATGGATGATTCCATAGATGTCATGTCGTATCGAACAAACCAATGGTATTACTCTTAGTGCCTTAGATGCGATTTGTTGAAAGCCCTTTTCGTTAGGATGAATCACCCACAAGGGGTTCCAAACGTTCGTTTCGCATATATGTGATCGTGGGGTCAAATCCAAAGATGTCGTTCATAGAGATGGGATCTTCAAAAGCTAAGGTATTTACCAGAGAAGCGGTCCTGTCAGGTGACGGGTTACAGTTTATGAGTTCCTCTCGATCGAAGAGTCGCGGTCAGACAAAGCGGAGCGATCAACAGATGGGTTACAGTGGCTTTGTTTAAAGCGATGCGGTTTCATAACGAGAGCTAAAGTAAAGGGGTCAAGAGAAGCGTGTTGTCTCCTTAACCATCTACCCCAGGGCTAGTCGTTATCCATCAACACCTACTCCTTTAGAGCTCTTACCGACTCTTTCTTAGCACAGATTATAGCGCAGATGAAGAGCAACAACAAGAGGACAGCCAAAGCCCAGGCGTCTAGCTACCGTATTCACTCCCTTTCAGTGTCTTCAATACGTATTTCTTTCGCTAGCAAGACAGGTCTAACTACCATGCATATCGCTATCAAGGCAAGGAACAAGCGTTATGTACTGATGTTTATGCGTCTGTACTCCTATGTTATCAAAGGACCTTGCCTTACCTTGATACCTGAGCCAGCAGGAACTCTTTGAAGACAATTATCTCGCGTCTATCCCTGCTAAGAATGAGGAGCTCTTCTTTGACTGCTACTTTCGATCGTTCGCTCGTGACTGTACTACCGGCCCTGAGGAATTCGTCTTCCTTCGGTTATACAATTACTGGTCTTGTCCTATTAAACAAGGGAAGTCCTCAAAGACAGATGTACACGCGTTACCCATATACCTGAGATCTTCGCCCTACGCCTGTCTTCTATTCCCCTCTTCTATCGCCTATGCCCGTGTATTCAATACCTTTCAGTCTTGCCAATAGCTGGTCTAGTGTTGTCTTATATAAAGGGAGCTATGGTTTATTCGTTTACTGGAGAGAGTGAGCGCTGTGAACGTGTGCCTTCGCCCGTTACCTGTCTTACCGAGATATAGCATTTATATTTATACCGAGTCTCCTTATCTTTTCGTCATACACACGTATATATGCTCTTATCCCAGTACCTGAGACCTAAACCCGAGGAACTCAGCAACAACTGGCATTTCTCGTATCATGGAATAGCTGTCAAGCGGTGTCGTCAAAGCGCAGATATCAATCCAATGCTGGAATTGCATTGCAGGTCTTCCAAAGCCGGGTTTCAAGCGAAGGAACTCAACTGAGCGAGTATTCCCTCACGGAGTCCTGTGAAAGTGGTGTTGCCAAAGCGATGCGGTCAATCCAGGTTTACCGGCTGAGGACGTGGTTGTTACCCAAAAGCTGCCGTTGTTGGAAGTCAATCTGCGAGGTCATATCTATCGTCAGTCGAGAAGTGAGGTTTTCCGATAATCCATATTGGGGTACTTTTCCGAGAAAGGATAAATACCGGCTCTGAAGTTTGGTCTGAGACCGAAGGCTGGAAGGGCAGGAGGTACCTCAGGTCGTCAACAAACCATAAAGGGGTCGGAAATAGAATATCAATGTCCTAAAGAGAGGTAGAGAGGTTCAGCAAAATGGCATAAGTAAGTGTAAGTTCCAAGTCTTTAAGTTCCAATTCTTTCGGTCTAACTAAATGAAATTAGAAGGAAGGCACCTCCAATTCCCAATTCTTCCAATGGTGGATCACCCACGAGGCCTGCCAAACTCCCGTTCTCCGGTAATCAAGAAAGGGGTCGATTTCTGGCAAACGAGAAAAACGGATCTTTTGGAGAAAAGGATGGAATGGGATCTGAAGAGGTACCTCGGGTCGGAGCTCTTTTGGGTTGGGAGTTGAAATACCATGGGTCAGAAACTGGGGCAACAAGCCAGATAGCTACAAATAGAGAGTTTTTCTTTTGTACATCCAAGGCACCTGGGATTTGGCAAATGATGATGAATCACGCGCGGGCACCTCCAAACGCTGGTTTTCCATATATCCAATCTTGGTGGCCAGAGATGGGGAATGAATCCCCTTGAAGTGAAGAAAAGGAATTACCGATCTTGTCCTTCGATCGAGGAGAGTTCCAACCTGTTTCGAGCAAGGGGTCGAGCGAGTTATGTCCTCGAGCGATCAAGACAATGCTCGAATACAAAGCTGAATTCAAAAGAAAAGGTTTATGAAATTTATGAAAAGGTTGATTTATGAGATACCTTGTTTTGATTTTCTTCTTTTACGGCTGGTGTTTCACCGGTCAAGTACTAACGATAGATCACAAGGAAGGGCTCTGAAAAAATGCGTTTTGTATTCCATAGATCGATGGGTCGAAATCCAAAGAAGGAGAAGATCTTTAGTTTAGTGCTACCCCCGCTTTCGGGTTCTGAGAACGATAACTCAGCTCACCGGACTCGCTTTCGAACCCACCAACCAACCCGATTCATTAAATACTGGATCTCGATCTCGATTTCAAACCCTGATTCCGCTTTACCGCTTTCTATGAGCGTGGGGGGGCGGCATAAGGAATCTAGTTTCGCGCTTGAACTCCGCTTTTAGACTCGACTTTCATATACCTTGTCCTTGGAGTGAGCCGTTAGTCGAAAGAAAGGGTTAATAGAATAGGATCCGATTCTTCCGAACAAACCACCCCTTTCTCTCTTCCTCGAACCACTGGGGTATAGAATTGTGAAGGGCTGGACGATATGAGCTCGCGCCGTTAGTAGGAAAGAAAGTACTACTGGTCCCAACTCACACCCGTGACTGTCTTTCTTTATCCTCCCCATTCTGACCCCGACCCAACTCCTAAAGCTCTGAGGGATATTTCATTTCTAGACTAGATTTCACTCTCGACATTTGTAAGCTCATGACTGAGGGATTTCGAATTCATACGTCCCAGCTATATAGAATTTATTCGACTATTCCCCGCCTTATGACTCTCTCTCCCTAGATCTCACTCTGCCTTTCTATATTGTGGACTTGCCTCCGATCTGACGTCGCTAGATTTCGGAAGAGGAGTCTGACGTAGCCAGAAATTGGACTTGACTCGAGCCGACATGGCTACATTTAGGACCTAGAGGCTTCCTGATCCCGATAGGGGTGGCATACTTCCTCGTTCTTAGTATAACTCCAACCCGGGATCTAGAGTATTGACTGGTTTACTTTATTCCTTAATAGGAGGGAAAAAAGAAGGCAGTGCCCACTGATCCCACCTTATTTTATGCCTTCGGTAGAGTCTTTCAAGGGTTGTGGAATAGAACAGGGCTTCGGATCGGAGTAGCTACCAAGGGAGTTGGTCCTGGGTAGGATGGAAAGAGGATTGGTAGTATGGAAGGTAGCAAGGTAGTAGCTAGTCATCCAGATCACATCACGGACAGGGAGAAGGTATCAACAGACAGGTGAGGTGTATACCAATAGTTAGAGTCGAGGACTGACAGTCTACTATTGATGTCCTGGAACACGTGTTAAATGGCACTTTATCTCCCTAATCAGTTAAACAACTATACTTGGTCAAGAGCAGGGGAAGTCAATTCAAATAGTCTGGCAAAGGAAGCTCCAAACAACAAAGGTCTTGATCTAGCGAGAAGTCTTAAAATGAAAATAAAGAGTCAAGTAAAGTCCAAAGTCGTAAGGATCAGATCCATCCCGTCCAATAGCTTCAGCGGAATCAAATGTGTTCCAACACCGGGGCAAAGATCGGATCTAGCAGTTGTGAAAGTCCCTGGTAGTTCTGAGTTCATAGTTCCAAGGGCTCCCCGCGTTTCGATGACCCATGCATATCGAATAGTACTTCGAAGGCCCCTCTATTTTGATGATGTCCAAGTGCGCAGGCCGGAGTAAGAGCTAAAGCTAAGGGGCGATAGTGGAGTTCCAGTAGCTCCCTGGAATACCGATGACAGATATATAGCTAATAGTCTTTCCCAACGGCCAATCTATTTCGAAGCAGGTGGACGGCAAGGAGTTCCTTGAGCTCCCCGGAATATCTATGACATAGAAATAGCAGTCCAGAGGCAAGTGTTTCAGTAAGGGGCAGACGAGTTAGCAGTCGAGAGTCCAGGATCTCGTAAAATGTCCATGACTAAGACAAGGAAATCAGACCCCGGAGGTTGTTGACTTTCCTCATACCCATATCAGACAGCTAAGGATCAGAGCTCTAGGTAGGCTACAGTCGTTATATCATTTTCTTCATCTCCTGATCAGCTCGTACCTCGGGTATGTGAAAGACAAATAGTCGATTAAATTAGAACGGATGATCGTCTTCTCTCCTAGTTCTTTCTGAGCTGACTAATAAATAAACGCCAATTTTCTCAATGGATTCGTTGGTACTTTCGACTTCATTTCCGAGATTGGGAAGGTGTTCCGTGTAAAGTCTCACTAATAGATAGAGCTAATCCAGCTGCCGAAGTAGCTACCCGGGACGGATCCTAATCAAGATTTTATGTATAGGTCCCTTAGTACGACATCCACAGGTTTAGATCTTGTCTATTAGTCTCTGGGCCCTTCAGATCCGAATTTCAAATTTTTCAAATCCTCTGAGCATGGAAATCTCACCTCATAGGTGATTCTACCTCATTCCAAGGAGCCTTCTCCCTTGGCATTGCTATTGGTACCAAAAACCGCTGCTAAAGTCCCTTGTGGTTCGAAATTGATTGGGAACAATATCCTACTCCTTCGGCTGTTCGAATGCTTTTTGAAACCTGGAAGCTGATTCGATGCTTGAAACCCTTGGGGAAGCACCTGTTCGCAATGTAGAAGTCAAGAGCTAAACAACTATACCATGACTAGTTGACCCACCCAGTGAGTAACAACTATCGTAGCGAACCTAAAGCATTCAGGCTTACCTCTTGGTAAACTTTGACTTGACTTTGATCCCTTCCATCCAGTTGCCTGGAACCAGATCTTTCGACATCCGTGGCTATTAGACAGGATTCACTGCTTCTACTTTTAGGCTTGCCTTCATAGACTGAATTCCACTATCTTAGCAAGCTTATGGTGGGAGTCTTGATATCCTTGGTCCTTGGGTAGGATCTTCTTACCGAGGGTATGACTACAAGAGCACAACCAGCTGTATTCATGCTCCTCGAAGTACCCCTTTCTTGTCCACAGCTAGACAGCTCGTACTCATTTGCCCAACAGTGGTCGGGTGCACCCATTCTTTGAACCTACCTATCTGCTTAACCCTAATGATAGCTTCCTTCATATCAGAATGGAACAGTAAACTATATTGTTAGATGCTATCTTTCTAGGCTCGATTACATTGACCTTCTCTACTCTCAATTCAAAATGAGATACCCATCTATATCTATTGGTTTCTCAAGAGGATCAATATAATTGACCTCGCTTTACCCAATTAAGGGCAAAAGCTCAGTCTCTGATTGGTATCGTTGAAGTCATAGGTATCAAAAATCATATAGAAAGTCAATCGAGAAAGAATAGGAATGTATTTGTTTAACCCTAGCTAGTGAAGTACAGGAATGCAAGCAAGCAAGGAGAGCGAAGTTCAGTCATAGAATCCTCACAAGCTCAATGTAATCGATTGTAATGACCTATTAATGACTTTTCTATCTTATCTGTAGTAAGGTTGCTTTAACATCCAACCGACATAGATTCTGCTGCAAAGGCGGTAGTTTTAGTACCTGGACCGTTGCGTTGACTGTGAGCAGAGAACTCGTCTTTCACTGCTAGGTCAGCTAGCCTATTTCGTAGTTGCAGGTGGGAAGGCTCGATTACATTGACCTTCGATCCGCAAGCTATGCAATTGAAGAAAAAAGTGGAGTTAAGAACGAGTCAATTACATCGAACCTCCGATTAGATAGCCAGTCTCCTTACCAGGTTGGTATGGGCGCACGCGCGTATCCACATCTATTTTCAATAGAAGATTCTCCGGAGGCAGAAGTACTATTTTCTATGACTTACATCTAAGTTAGCCATGAGCTCTTTATTTATCTGGTTTAATCTTGTTGGTAGGGTCGGTCTATCGCTTTCAGATATACGCTCTTCGAGAAAATGCAATATCCAGTAAAAGGTAATAGGCAGAATCAAAAAGAGGGATACGGCTGATAAGATAGGACTAATGAATGGTGGGATGGTGTGCTGCTAACAGATCGGTGCGAGCTCCAACTCAGAACAAAGCAAAGGACACACGTCAATCAAATTCAAACAACATTAAGCATGAGTTCAGAGTTGACAAGAGCGGATAATACCTATTAACCGAGGAAAGAAGTGGCTGAAGCCTTTGCCCAACCCACGATGGATTACCAGGAGTGCCTGTGAAAGACTCCCGCGAATTAAAAGGGCTAGTGTGACCATCCATTGCTTATTCCCGGCACGGATTCCACGACTAAACCACAGATCTCACGAAGCGATTCCAAATATGCGCTTACTATAATTCCTCTATGACTTCACTTCGCTTCGCTTCTAAAGTTGGGTTAAATGCTCTCTTTTTTCAAAAAAACTGGGAGGTCGTAGGCCCAGCAGCCCGAACGTTTATTAGAGGAATGTGGCAGTCTGGGGCGGTACCACACAGAGTAAACCAAACCTTACTTGTTTTAATTCCGAAAAGCGAGAACGCTAGCACCATCAGGCACTTCCGATCCATTAGCTTGTTGAATGTGATTTACAAGCTCTTCACAAAAGTCCTAGTGAATAGAATGAAGAGCACCTTGCCCATGCTGATTCATCCTGCTCAAGCCAGCTTTGTCCCGGGCCGTCAGATCACGGATAACATCATAGTCGCACAAGAGTTAATCCACTCGATGCGTGGGAAACGTAGGGCAAAGGGTTTCATGGTTATTAAAGTGGATCTAGAAAAAGGCTTACGACTACCTGCGGTGGGATTTCATTGAAGAAACCTTGCATCTAGCTGGCTATCCTACTAAGTTCATTCGAGCAGTCATGGCTTGTATCAGTTCTGCTTCGATGAATGTACTGTGGAATGGGATGATGGGTGAGGAATTCCGACCCAGGCGAGGAGTCAGACAGGTCAATTAGATCGAGCCTTACTTATTTGTACTCTGCATGGAGAGACTGGCACAAAGTATATGCCAATCGGTGGAAGAACTATCATGGCGTCCCATCTCAGTTGATCGAAATGCTGTCACGGTGCCCTTTTTGATGTTTGCCGATGACCTAATCATCTTCTTGGAGGCATCTGACGATCAGGCGCGCGTTCTGAGACAAGTGCTCGACCGTTTTTGCACTCGGTCAGGACTTAGAGTGAGCTCGGAAAAGACACAAGTTTATTTCTCCACAAATGTGCCGGCACAGGAACAAGGGAGGTTGGCGGCGGTGCTGAACTTCAAGCTGACGAATAATTTGGGAAAATACATAGGAATGCCGATCCTCCACGAACGCATGACCAAAGTAACGTATAATTATATTTTGGAAAAGACGGAGGTGCGCCTAGCCGGCTGGCGCATGAAAATGCTATCATTGGCTGGGAGAGTGACCCTCACTCAATCGGCCCTGAGCACGCTGCCTTACTACTCGATGCAGACCACCATGTTACCGAATGCGATTACAGATGGGCTTCAGAGGAAATGTCGTGCTTTTGTATGGGGCGGATCCGATGCACGAAGGAGACCAAGTGCTAAGCTACTCACCGAGCGGGAAGAGCTATTGGCTATCGTTCCGAGAAGTCGATCTATCCAATATATATACCAAAAGGCATCCGCGAATGACAACTAGCGCACAGAAAAGAAGAACGTGTCGATTTGACATTTCGTCTATCTCCTCGCCTAACATCAATCAATTCCGTCCCGAGCAGCAACACTTTACTATACATCATTTCATCGATCATACTCAAGTAGACGAGATCCAATTAGACCATGTTACCTTTCCTGCCTATCAGACGAGGAGTGAAGCGAGCTACACCCACTATACTACCGAACCCGAACCCCAGTGATGCAATAGATGACTGATGATATCCGAAAACAAGAGAAAGGGGAGTGGAGGGCCAATCTGAGTAGTGAAAATGTAGTGAAAGGGTACGCGGAATCATCGTGATTTATGAGGGAAGTGGGGAATGTGCTGTATGAGGTGGGGAATAGGTTGCAGAAGGTAGACAAAGAGGGTCCGGGCAGGAAGAATCTCCTGGAAGAGTAGAGTGGAAGCACGAAATCGGCACAACATCTATTGTACAGACGCTATTGAAACTGCGAGGGACCGTCCGTTAGTCAATGTCGGCAAGTCCCGATACGTTTGAAGTCGGAAAGGCTAGTTTGGTCAAATCCAAATGGCAATAGCAAGCAAGACGCCCATTGGGAAGGTAGAGGTGTACTTTTAGCTTTTGTTTTCCTCCATTCTAGGAGGATAGATGTAATTTAGAAGACTTTTCCGGACAGGATGGGGGCTACTTCCATCGACACAGAAGAGGGAATTGGGGTCACAAATCAGCGTAGACTTAATGCAAGCAGTTTTTCAACACCGCACGACCAAGAGTTGGGGAAACTCAGTACTTAGGATTTCATTCTCGGTAAGTTAGACTTGCCTCATCTACGGTAGTTTGGGACATATGTGCTGATTTAGCCGCCTACTCAGATTCACCTCCCGACATAAGGTGTCTATAATTCCTAGAGAAGTCGGGCAGTCATTACATCGCTCGATCGATCGTTCCATTCGCGAGGAATAATCAGTGGATAGGCATTTCGGAGCAAAAAAATCTTCTTTCGCTTAAGGACCAAATGCTGCTTCCAAGCTGGTTCATTGAGCAACCGAAGCCAGCGCGCCTATAGATTCTGCATTCCCCCTTCGCTGACCAAGGAGCAACAAGGCCGATCCGTGCACCACACATCAAATCAAACTTGGTGAGGATCGATGTAATTGAGAAGAAAGGCAGCCCAAACGAAAACAAGAAGAACGAGCTGACGAAGCAAAACCGGCGCAGGTGCACAAGCGTATACCACGGGATGAATACTGACCGAGGACCTCCTTCGCCCTTGAGAAGGCGCGATGATAATTGCCCACAGAAAGCCTTCCTAGCCAAATAGGTCCAACGTAGCAATCTCTTTCACTAACATGTATCTCTACCTCGAATTCCCCGAATGCCCCTACTAGAAAGAAAAGCCTTTGCCCATTAACAAACTCTTCCCAGCCCTAACCTCAATTACATTGACCCAACGAACGAAGCGAAGCGCAGTGAAGGAAAGGTTATAACATATGCTCGACGTGAAAGGAGAGGAATGCTTGGCCAAGAAGTCTTAAGTGAAATTAAACGCTTCCAAAATTTCTCTAAAGGTGGATAATGGAACCCTAGACTTGCTAAAAGAGATAGTACTGCTGCTTTAACTTTTTCTTTTTCCAACTCCAACTCATACAAGAGCAGTTGAAAGGAAAGCAAAGAAACTCAGCTTCTTGTAGGTCCCAATATGCGGGTAACTAAGGTTAACTTGTCAAGTAAAGCCTGACTTTTTCAGCGAAGACCAGAACCGATTCAATCAATGCGACTTCGTCCATCTTTTTTTGAGAATGGCAAGCAGGAAGGAATATGATGAGGCGGGCAAGGAAGGAAGACACTGGCATTACTAAAGTAGCAACAGCTCTCAAGCCCCCAGTCCATTACTTACTCGCACCTGGGGTACAAGGCTGACACCTTCCTAACGAAATAGAACCTTGCACGCTTACTTATTCATACAGCGCTAGTTACAATCCCCTTACTTACGAAATATCCCCTGACTCCAACACCTGGGTAAGCTTTCTTGCTTACAGGGTAGGCTCAAAGCGGGGCTAGTTGCTTGGGATTACTTGCTAGCACCAGGGAAAGCTCATACAAGGTAGGGCAAAAGGGACTGAACATCTTTTCACTTCTCAACTTTGCCTTTCCAGGGACTTCACTTCGCTTCGCTTCGTTCGTTGGGTCGTTTACATTGAGATCCAATCGCTGCATCATCCTCCCATTAGACCACGTATTTTAGTCTTCTCGAGCTGCTAGAAAACCATACTTCCAAGAGTCGAAGAGAAAGTGTAGAAATCTCTATTGAATTACTCATCTGCGCTTCAAAGAATATCATATAAAAGGAGAATCTGCATACAATTGAGTTGAAAGCGAGTAAGCCAACGGTACAAACGAAGCGAAGCGAAGTGAAGTCATAGACATTTGAGGTACGTCTTTTGTAAGAATTCTCATAGATAGTAACCGAATATACGTCACCTTTTTTCACCGCAGAAAAATGCTGCACGGGCGGGGTACAACTCGTTGCTAGGGTCGTAAACTGCTGCGTGGGAATTGAGCCAAACTGAATTGGTTGGGCGTGTCCAAAAGGAGTACCACCGGACTGGTATTTCATGACATCTTGTTGAGGAGAGAGCCTCAACAAACCAGATTTGAGAGGGAATACCTTCACCTAGTTCACTCGCTGAGTCTCTTTGCGTCCATGGCTGAATGGTTAAAGTGCCCAACCTAATAAAGGGGCAAATTCGTAGGTTCGATTCCTGCTGGATGCACTTGGAACGTTCAGTTCAATCGCAGCTCACGGAATTTATACATATAGCTCGCCCAATTAGCTTATGGGGCACTTCACTTGCTCAACACTCGTTCAAAACATCCACTCGTTCTTCACTCGCTAGAGAGGGATAGATGACTGAAAATCCCACTTAGAGATCGCAACTATAGTTGAGAGGAAAGAAGTCTCAGCAGGCACTAAAGTAAAGGGGAAGCTTAGAGACGGAATTCAAATAGTTGAATAGAGGAGTACGTGGGGGGTGAAGTAAAGATAACTCTAGCAATATAGACCGGACCTGCTTCCCATTCATTCTTTTATAAGGATGTTCTTCGGCTGGTCAATAGGGCGCATCGCTTTCGCTTCTGTAATAGAGGCGCTGTAATAGGCGCGCTTGGTTAACGAATAAAAACCTTGGTCCGCATTCATTGGTCTAGTCCGATCATTGCTTATCTCTTTCTTCTCTATCGGTGAATTTCTTGACTTCACTTCGCTTCGAAAAGTTCTGTTAGTGTTATAAAAGAATCGAACCTTTAGGTAGGACTTCTACGCCGAGTGTTGCAAATTCCCTTTCTTATCCCTTATAGTTTAAGCCTTTCCTTTCTATGTAACCAAGTCCTCTTATGAACATATCCCCGCCTAAAGGATAGGATAGATTACAACTAAAAAGTCAGTCCGAGTCTCCTAACTTTCTCTCTTTTTGTGAGATCAAAAAGCCAAGCTGACTTAGAGCCATTCATACTTTCTTGTCATTTTCCTAGATTAATGTCTTCTTCTTATCTGTGAACTAGTGGAATTCCGGTTCACCCTCGGTGTGATTGCTCCCATCCAATCCTTCTCAATGTAATCGACCCTTGACTCTGAAAGAACCTAAGGCAGTGGATTCGGGATCTAAAAACTCCAAGCCGGAAATAAAGAGTGAACTTCCAAAGGTCAATTACATCGAACAAAGCGAAGTTCAGTCATAGAAAAGGATATTTCCATCTATATTCAATGATCGATGTAATTGACCACTACAGCACACTTCGCGCCACAAAGAGCCTAGTGAGTTACGGGAGGTTCGATGTAATTGACGAGAGGGACCGATTCAGCTCTTTCAGAGCCTCGCTCCTTGGTCCATGTTCGAAGGCAGGGTAAGCAGGTTCAGGTCGAAGGCCTTGTCGAAGGTCTTGGCGATCTCTTGACCAATGTTGCTAAGGCACGGTACGAGAAAGGTATGGACGCCCATACGGATAAACTATTCATACCAAAACTATCGTTGAGTTGTTGTGAAGAGTTTCTCTTCCATAAGGATTCAAACAATTGTGAAATGTTACCCTGCCATAATGTGATGTGTTTCCAATGCCAATAAAAAGTCACCCGTATTTCACATCCCTGCCAAATCAAATGCGTCCCAAGCAGAAATATCACAAGTACCGCCGCGTCCTGGTCCGTCGCAAGGAAAACTATAACCGAAATCCTTTTTATCCGGCAAACACTTGGAACCACGTGCGTCTAAGGCACCTTTTACTAAAATCAATGTAGTTGTATGCAAACCTAGAGCAATAGCATGATGAGTTTCGTGGTTGAATAGCCCTGTTTTGTAAACAAGGGCCGAGGGCTATGGCATCTGTTGACTGAAACGAGTTGGGATGCTACCGAGCGTAGAGTTCGCTTTTGGCAGCTCATTAACTGACCGGTTGACTCTGCTGCCGGGCTTTGAGGAATGGGAGCAGCTTTGGATAAAGCGTCAGTGGGTCCAGTAATATGGACAAGTACGCTTTATGTAACCAATATCTTTGTCAACAAAGTCCTTCTTTCAGCAAAATCGAAGCCACTTTGAACCGAGCCTTAACTCCATAGAGCCAGAAGAAGGCTGTTTCATCTTATCAATCCATTTACAACCGACCAAGTTTTGAGAGTGGAACAAGCTCCCAAGTGTTATTTGCAATAAGTGCATTGAACTCATCCGCCATGGCTTCACTTCACGCCACTTAGCTTGAGAAAAAAGGGTTATTTAGAAAGAAGGGATGAGTTCATACCCAGCAAAGTGAGCATCTTACCCGACAATTGTCATATCATATCAAAAGAAGCACTTCACTCGATATCGAATACTCAACAGACAGGCATACCTGAGAAGCTCTTTCTTTGCCCGATGCAGCCTTCTAGGTGATTAGCTTTTTTCTTACTTCTAATAATAAGCAGACGTTCTTTGAGCTAACAATTCTGAACGTACCAACTCTTTCTTTCGTTACGCTTCCTCTCTCAATCCGCTCCTTGGCTTCAGGGATTTTAATGAGATTGCCCATTCGGATCAAATGCTCTGTTAAGAATAGATAGTCCTTGTATTAGATCTTTCCGCTCCATTTTCCTAATTGAATGAGTTAGCATGGAGTATTATACAGAGATAGAGGTATCCCCCAATCAATATTGTACTTTAGCTTATATACTGCATTTGCATAGCATATCGGCAATCAGTACACGATTTCTGTCAACAATGGATCTCCCTTTCTGGATTTCCTGTCCTGTTCTCCTCAAACCAAACCATTTTCATTGCATCATCTGCCATGATCGATGGTGCACCCATAGCATTGAATTGATTTGTGTACTCTATAACACTCATTCCACTGGTTTGGACCAAAGAGTGAAATTCTGTCATCTTGCGACACTTCAGGGTATTAGGAAAGTAGTGCTGAAGAATGGTTCCCTTAAATAAATAGATTCCAAGTCAGTTCGTCCTCACTAGGTGCTACTACCGGTTGCACCCCTTTTCCATTATCTATCCGCGTTTCCAACGAAGAAGGAAGGTCCTAAACTTGCTTTTACGTGTTCCGGAACATGCATCAATCTCAAATTATTCTTTGAGTATTTAATCCACTTTTCTGCTTCCTCCAGATCACCACTACCATCAATGGAGTATGAATTCTCTTGAGACTCTCATAATAGTTCTTTGGTGAGTGGTTAGGGTGAAGTCCTTGGAATAACTATAGGATCGCATGCATTCTCTACCTTCGCGATATTCCCATTCTCATTCTTGTTGGTTGCGTGTGCATTAGGGTTGTTGTTGTTGCAGTTGTCTTAGAGTGTGTGTTGGCTATTTCCTACAAAAGGAAGGTAAACATTTATATTGTATAAGAAAGGTATACTAGCGTACTTCGCACTCAAGGATATAAGAAAAGAAATGAACTTTCATTAATCGTTTAACACTATCCTAAGAGAATGTAAATTACAGAAACAAAGAAAATACTAAGGGTGCCATTTGGTTCTAGGATACGCAGATCCTTAATGCCAAATTCTTAAATGAAACTACTCAATCTAGCTTGGAAAGGTTGTCTCCAACAGTTTCACCATCTATAGCCTCAACCATTTCATAATCTTCCTCTATTGGGATCCTCTTCGGGATCTTTCTTGGAGTCTTCTTCATCTTTCTCTTCCATAGGCTTTTGATCAATAGTAGTTTCCTTGTTAACTCCCATACCCTTAAACCCCCAATGTTTTCAAGCTTCTTCACAAGGTATTGTCGGTTCGTCGGCTGTCTATGTCCTCCTCAGGCGCAACTACATCTCGTTCAAGATAAACAGCTCTATTCTTCCATCCTTCCAGTACAATCGTTAATGCCTCATAATTTTCCTTCATCTCAATTAACTCCTGCTGGTACCTAGCATTTTAAAGATATTCTAATATCAGAGGAAAGGATCTAGGCTGGCTTACAACTGTAGCTGCAAACCCGACCCGATGTAATGCAAAAAAAACCTGCTGACAGGCACACCGTCCTTATTCGCTTCCAACGAACAACCAACGGAGCAGAAGGCGGTGCGTGCGGGAAAGAGGATGACTAAGAAGCATTCTCAATGGCTCGAAACTCCCTTCTTTTTTTTTCTCCCCAACAAACTTTTCGATCCTGAAAAGAGCGCCGCCGCTTACGCATATAACACGTCTGGCTTGTCAAGAAGAATTGAAAAGGATGCATCCCACTATCTTCACTTATTATTAGAAAGGTCCCTTCGCGGATAAAATACCAATTCAAATTACATGTTGGTCTTTCTAGTGGATTGCCCTAAGACCAAAGGGGTGGTGAAAAGATTTGATAGAGACTGGTGATAGGTCTTTAGTCCAGTTCTTAACTCGAAAACGCTTGGCGAATTCCGCACAACCACTTGTGGAAATAAGGGACTTTTGATAGGATATATCAACTCCCAATCCCGCAAGAGATCGTTCATACACGCTAGCTACCTCAGGATCGGCGATTACTATATCGTCGCCTAGTACTGCATACTTCTCAAAGCGAGTTCCAGGGTATACCTGCTCTGCGCAATACCACACCAGGACATGGTGAGATAGCGCAAACAGAGGCCATGAGGACAGATAACCGAGAGGTTGACCTGCTACAAACGAGACTGAGGAATAAAAACCTCACCCAAGGTACCTCAAAAATGTTGTAGGCTAGTGCTGAATTCACAACACTAGATGAAAAGGAGTATTGAAACAACATCGAAGAGGAAGACTAAAAGCCACCTATCGGTAGCCGATTTCAAATCAAAGCTATAGCAGTGAGTCTCGCCCACTAACCGACCTAAAGGAGCATCTTGAGAGAAGGTCCTATCCATGGGGATCCGACTCAACACCTACATCAAAGATTGATGGACAGTGCTAGCAACCTTTGGTTTACATAGTTGCCTATGGCGAATATCCGCCGCTTCCCGTGACCAACAAGCTAGGCAATAAAAGATCTATCCTTTCCCAGCTAGGTAAGATATCATATCTCTTTCCGATGCCAAATGCAATTTTTCTCATGATAGTAAAGGGACAGGCCTAAAAAGATAGGTTAGCGGGGGTCGATGTAATTGAGGTTACACCAAAAGATGCGGTCAATACATCCAGGAATGGAGTTTCAAAGACAAGGTAGAATAAAACTAAAGGGAATAAATAACTGGGGATAGAGTTTAAGGATGAGAATGCATGCTACGAAAGATAGGATTGGGGAAGGGTTGTACTATAAGGCACACCGAGAGAGGCCAAAGAAGATTGAGACCCCTTAGTTCACTTTGCCTCAGCCACTAAGCGATTGACTTGAGACTAGGTTGAGGGAGTCGATCATTTTTAGATCAAAAGGGCGCTCATTCCCTTGCGGGAAAATGACAAGTGACAAGATTGGAATGGATTTCTAGAGCGGTTGAATCAAGCAAGAAAACTGCATGCGCGGAAGAAAGAAGCTCAACCAGCGGAGGAGAATCCCCAGGCAAGAAGAGAACGAAGCGAAGTGAAGTGAAGTCAAAGTGGATAAGCAGGGACAGAATGAGAGGCAAGCTTTGTTTGACTCAGAAGAAATATCTGAATAAGGTAGAGATTGCAAACAATGGTTCAGGATGTCTTCAACGGGGCTATTATAGAGAGAGCCTCTTTTACTCCTTCGTCCCCAAAACTTCCTCTATGACTTCACTTCGCTTCTAAAGATTACATTGACTAAATAAAGAGCTAGAACTCTTAACTAAACCTTAGGGTAGCGAGTGCACTACAAGTAGTAGTAGGATTATCGTGTTAGGGTAGGTTTCCTGATTAGTTCTTTATTCATCCAGATGTGCTATTACAAGGGAAAATTGGATTGCTAACTTTCACAGCTATGTCAAACTCAATTACACCAGGACTGAACTTCGCTTCGCTTCTAAAGTATGCTTCGATCCCCTCTTCCTGAGACTCCAGAAACTCGTTGACCCATAGCATAGATGTAATATCTGAAATGAAAGAATTTTCCTTTACGCCATAGGAACTAGTATAGAATTAGAAGTTGAAAGTCGGTCTTCACTCCTGCCCTAAGAAGCAGATCCCACTCCGTCCAAAGCTTCAACTAGCTCTCCGGCTGGCTAAGCAGGTTCAACCCCCAACTCCAAAGATTGGTTCAACTCCTGCTTGATCAGATGCAAAACTAAAGTTGTATATAAAGGTTCCCCAGGATTTCAACCTTGATGCCTAAAGTTGTTGATTTACCGTCTGCTTCTTCCTAAACATCGGCTCTTCAAGCTGGAGCAGGTTTAAAGGGAACGAACGAAGCGAAGCGAAGTTCAGTCATAGACGGTATTTGTAATAGTTGGTGTCACATCCCGCCTTACTACTAGCTTTGAAAATCAGAGTAAAATTTTTGTTTTTATTTTCGAAAGAACGTGCGAGCTGGGTTTTCGAAAATACTGACTTATTGCGGGATGTGGCAGATAAAAACTTAAATTGAAACTTGGGCTTGCCCACAGACATAATAAAACATGCAACCAAACTGTCCGCTCGCGGATTATGGAATTATACATGCACAGTCTGTACTGTCTCGCACTGCCTAGAAAAACTCGCTGGCGGAAGCATTCGAAATACGAATACATAACATGCGTACATAAACTGAATAAAATACACATGATCATAAATCTAGGACATAAAAATGCTGGTAAAATATGTCCGACTCTCATGACCACGCTGCGCCACATCTGTGCTCATCCGGCACGCTCGACTCCGTCTCTTGAAAAACACAATGGGGGCGTGAGAAAACCACTATGCTCTGCAAAGACCAGTACTGAACAAAACATCATCTATAATAACGTATCATGAAACATAAATATATAAGAGCTGAACTGTAAACTGATCTCTGATGTTTGTTCTGATCTGTGGTCAAAAGACTCTCGGCCGTAGCCGCTCGTGTGCACACGCCGATGGGGTAGAAAGGGCCTCGCCCCTCCCAACGGTCATCAGGTGGGTATAAAGGCCTCGGCCACCCAACCCGGAACTAAACTATCTCAAACATACCTCTTCCATGGTACAGATATTATCTATGATGTGACATCCAGTACATGACCCCCACCTGAAAACTTGAAATCTGGTATGCAAGTGCGGACGCTGGAGTAGCGGTCGGAGGCTCGACTCTCCTTAGGCTACATAAATATTTAAGCAAAATAATGCTAAGTATAATGCTCAGAATATTTAATTATATGCTAAAATGCTCGGATTTATCTACGCGATTGAATTGGACTGGACTGGCTCGGAAAAATACTGAAATTTCTGAAACTGGACTCGGATCAGAAATCACTAATCAAAACTGACTCGAACCGCCGGTCGAACTGGCCGGTTCGTTGGCTGGCCGGACCGCCGGCTCAACTGGGCCGGGCAGTCGGGCTGGGTTCGGCTAGACCGAGCTCGGTCCCGTGCCGGGCCAGCTGGTGCCCGGGCACGGCGCTGGGCACGGCTGGTGCGACCGGGCTCGGTCCCTGGTGCCGCTGGACTTGGCTAGGCGCGGACTGGCGCTGGTGGGCACGGCCAGGGGCTGCTGGCACGGCCCGGGCACGACTGGTGCCCCTCGGGTGCGTGCTGGGCACGGCCGAGGCTCGACTGAGGCGCTGTCGTGCGGCTGGGCACGGACAGGCACTGGCCAGACACTGCTGGCACGGGGAAGGCACGGACAGAGACCACACGGGCGCTGTCGGGTGTCCCCGAGGTCACTGGGCACTCGGGCATGCTGCTGGGGCATGCACCGAGGCCAACTGGGCTCAGCTGACCCGGCTCGGGTCTGCCCTGGACTTGGCACGAGGCTCTGGCACGAGACCTCGTGCACTGGGGCTTGCACAGGCGCCGCCGGGCGCCGCGCGCATGGCTGGGCACGCTGGGTGCCTTGGCCACGCCTGCTGAGGCTGAACATGCGCGGGCACGAGCTACTGGCCCGGGACCATGCGCATGTAGACTAAGGACAGTACTGCAGGGCGCTGTCGGAGGTGTTGGGCGCGACTGGCGCCGTGACCTCGGGTGCGACGCGGACAGGCGCTGTGATGAGGATGTGGTCATCGACCCATCCGAGCCCGAGGACGAGTCGCGCGAAAGCTGTGAGAAGAAGCGCGCAAGGGCCCGGGATGAGTACCAAGACCGTGCTAAGAGGGCCCGGAGAGGCTACACGACGGGTGATACGCTTGCGGCTGAGTATGGGGCCGATGATGAGAGCGGGAGGGTTGAGTCCGGAGGAGAGGGCGAATGGTGTAGGGCTTGCGCAAGAGACCGGCGCAAGCAACGCATGCGCGCTAAGGCCGAAGGAGCACGAGGGATGGATGAAGGGTGGAAAGCGTGCACATGGGGCGGCAGCAGTGGCGCAGACGCGAGAGTGGGTTGGAACGATGCGAAGGGCTCGACAAGCGGGTACGAGTGGGCTGCGATAACGAGAGTCACGCACAAGGCGCTGGTCAAGCGGGGATATGGTGGCGATGGCGCGAACGCGCTAATGAAAAGGGTTGATAGGGTCGACGAGTCGAGCAAGCGCAACACGCACGAATGTGGAGCGAACGCGCGAAGGAATGGGCGCGCGCCTGGCATGGGCGGTAACGCGCGATGCACGCAGGAGCTGGTTGGCGCGAGTCCTCGAGGGGCTAGGCATAGCGCATCGACTGAAGGGAATCCGCGCGACTTGAGGCACAAGGCAATAGACGCGGGAGAAGGCCAAGACCTCGGAGGACAAGGATTAGCCGCGATGGCTAGGGTTCGGGTGAAGTGCCGCGCAAGCAAGAACCCGAGATCCTTCTAGAAGGGCTAAGGGCCGATTTCCCTTAGTAGCTTAGGAATAATAGTTTGGTTAGGATATGGAATAAAAGGCATGTGCCCAAGTAGTTTAGGTAAGTCTATATTTACTAGGTATTTACTTTCCTTAGGACTTTATTTGTTTACTTGCATTAGGAGTTCTTCTTAGACTAGGATTAGATCTAATTGGTATCTATAAATACCACCCATATGTCATTCGAAAGATATGATTAAGAAGTAATGGAAAATCGTTCATGAGAACAAAACCGTGTGTTTTGAATTCGTGAGAGTTTTATCATACAAATCAAGTTGGCTAGGCTAAGACCCGAACCATCTCAAAATCGTGAGAAGATAAGGCTAACAACCAAGTCGTCCACACCTATCGTCGAAGGACAAGCCGTGGCAAAGCTTGGTTCGAGACAATCGAGTTGGGAAAACACACGATACTTCATCACGCTGCTGGCACGTTGTCGCGGGCACGGGGCTGCGGGTGCCATGCGCACGCTGGCGCGGGCACGGACTGGCGCTGGGCCGGGCACTACCGCGCTATGTGCGCGGCCAGTGACCAAGGCCGGCCCTTGCCGGACCTCCGACGACTATTTCCGGCAACATGCATAACATATGATCTCAACATGATAAAACAAGCACAAATAACACGTAAAACACTAGTTGACGCAGGTCCACGTGCATGATACCCGGTAAGGCCTAAATGGCACGTCCGAGTGGGTTAACTCCCGAACCAACATTCATAACGTGAAAAACTACTCAGGGCCGAATGTTATACATCAAAAATGATGACTATGTATGCTAGCACTTATGCCATATCTTGCATGCATGATAATTGACCTCGGTGGCTCATTTTAACATAATTTCGAGCATGATTTGACTAAGGTAATGAACTCCAATTCTATTCAAACTTTTACACAATCAATGACATGATATTTAAGGGTGATTTAGCTAATAATATCGACTTTAACATGCTTGCAACTAAAATTTCATTTTTAAGGTCATTTATTACAAAAATTCGTAAATCACATATAATGACATGCATGGTTCGGTTTTTCTTCATGAAAAATCTTAAAATGTCATAAAATAATTTATGAACTCAAAAATCCCGAGCTTACCTCGGTTAGAAATGGAGAACTAGTGCTAGGGCTCGAAATGGCTTGGTACGGCTTTGAATGATTTATCTCGAGTTGGTGTGTGATTTGGCCGAGCCTTTTGAACTCCCAAGACTTAGAAAAATCTAAGGAATGCTTAGATACTGCTAAGCCTCGAGAGAAAATGGCTGGAACACGAGGTGGCTGCCTTCTCTCCTTCCCCGGGGCGCGCGCGCGGGCAGCAGGGCTGGTAGCTTTGCTCTCGGTTTTCTCCTCCCTCCTCACTATTTTTCTCGAGCTCCAAATTGTGTAAGAGCTTAAAATGGACTAAGGGAGGGTTCTTAAATAGGTGTTGAGGGCGGAGCTTACTATGTTGGTCAAGGGAGCCAAATTAAGTGGATTTAACCACATCACATTCATGGGGACTTGGGGAGGAAAAGAGCACGACTTTGGGTGGACTTCTGGT